AACAGTTCACTCAGATATACAACATTGCACTATAAAACCACCCAAAACAACATACAGACACCCCCCCCCCACAATAGAAGCCAGATGTTTTTGGGACAAAACACTTTTTTTTGGACATGCTGTAATAAAATAAAATATTCTCTTTGCTCAGTCCAGCTACAAGATAATTGTCCAACAGCACCCTGTTGGCTATCTGACTTCTTCAAAGCAGAGACGGACCCGTGGACGGTTCTGTTTGGGAACGATTTTACTCGGGTGAGCAGAAGGCACTTAATTTAGGGTGCAGCTGCTGCGTCCAGCAGCGGATCCCAGGCACTGCAGGCCTGGTCCTCACCAGCTCACGGTGCAGCAAGCAACTCCCACTTGGTGTCCACTCCCGAAAGCGATGCTCCCAACTGTGCTTTGTCCACCCGACTCTGGTTCGGTTCATTATCCAGTGTAGGAGGACCTGGCGGCGGGGGCATCTCAGACTGGCCGGATTCTCTTTGCACGAGAGGATCTGTAGGCGATTCTGAGGCCAATGTGGGGTTCAATGTTTGACCGTGCAAGTCGGTCTGTGCGGACTGTGCTGGCTCTGCTGGCTGCACTGTCTGAACTGGCAAATGTGGAGGTACAGGCTCATCTGGTGAAGTGGCGGCCGCTGATTCAGCAGGCGTTGTGTGGGGGACCTGCACCGGCTGTGAGGACTGTATGGGGTCCCCCGGTTGTGAGGAGGGGGACGGTGTGTGCGTTGGCAGGTGTTGAGTGCACGGCTCGTTTTGTCTGTGTGGCCCCAGGTGTGTGTACTGGGCCTGTGTTTTTGCGAGCTGGTCTGCAGTGGAGTAGTAAGGCAGGAATGGCCTCTCTGATGCACAGGTCCGCATGGCCAGGTATGTGTGCATTAGCAGGTGGGGGAAGCGGGAGGTGAAGTAGGAGACAAAGTCATCAGGGATGGAGCCCAGAGTCTCCTGCACCTCGGCAGGCAACTCTCGGTAATGATGTTTCTGTCGAAGGAACGTTAAAGCGTTAAGTCCGACGGTAGAGACGGTTTCATTTAAATACAAAGCATCAGAATGCATTCCTACCTTGTTTCTCATTGCACGCAGCAGGTCTCTGACTGAACCGCCCTTGTAGGAGCGAAATTTCCGCAGATCTGCCGAAGAAGAAGAGAAAAACAAAACCCCATGAATCAACCACAGAATGAGCCACTCATCATTATCCAACAAAGGAACAGTAAACCGGAAATCCTGAGAGGATACAGCTGCCTTTTTATTTCATCCCGTTACTGAAGTGACCAAATATGGAATGTTCAGTGCAACTCAGGAAATATAAGGACGGGTATAAGGTGTCACTGCAGTTATGGTTGACTGGTACATGTGATGAAAGCTACTTTGGCACAGTTGCTGATGCGACACACCTGCACTTCCTCTTTGACGTTCTTCTTATTGACGAGAACAGTGAGTGTTGGAGCACAAGAGTCGCTATGCAATCGTTATACACCCCCTTATGGCTAATGAGGCTGGTGCATGCAGATTTCTGTTTCTGTGAGTACACAGAGTTTTATGCTTCTGGCCCCTAAAGTTTGACTTGAATGAGCTTTTTATGAAGGTATTTGTTTTGTAAATGTAGAAGATCAGTGTATACTTTTATACTATGCTGTTATAATATGTAGTATACCCACATAATGAGTTCACCTGGTCAATCCATAACTATATCAGTGAGAGTTGCTTTACTGGTCAATAAAACCAAACGCAAAGTCCAAAGAGCACCAGGTAACGTTGAGATACTCAGCGGGTGATTATGCTGACAGGAAGGCTTACTTCCTTTACCACCCACTATAATATTATGTGGTGACAGGAAACAGCAAAGCAACTAGCTCTCAACTGAAGTACGACCAGAGTAGAGTTTGTGGAGTGCTACACTTTACTCTTTTACCACAGGGGGCACCAGGAGCGTCTATTTGACTCGTGTAAAGCCAGTTTCATACCAGTCTGCAGTGGCACTGTGATATGCTCTCTCCAGTCACTCTTGACCACAGCCCTCCCTCCTCTCTCCAGCTGTCTCACGATTGGTCCGTCCAGCGGTTCCTTTTCTATTCTGTCGCTCACATCCTGCCAGCGACCACAAAACAACAGTCAGTAATATTAACTAATACGGCAGGCAGCCGTGGGCCCTGATCAGACAGAGTGTGTTTTAGCAGCCTGAGACAGTATTTGATATTGTTTTCAATGAGAGTGACCGAAATAAATCTATTATATGGCACATCAGTGAAGTTCTGAAGGTTGATATGCGATTGTAAGGACTTAGTTAACTGAAAAGGATAGTTTTCATACATCCTACGAGCAGGTGGAGTAGATATCAAATACAGATAACCTGCCATTGCTGCCCAAATCACATTAAAATAGCTGCATGTTTTCCCGCATTTATGAAGAAGTTTATTAATGATGAATCCACGCACAACATATGAGGATTTCTACAACTTTGAAGATGCCCAATGTTCTAATAGCGAAGTACACACAGTAAACAGCCTACTACATGTGATCTATACAATAAGCAGAGAGCAGTAAACAGCTGACCTGAAAGAACTGCAGCTCCTTCTCCAGGCTCCAGAAGAAAGGTTGTTTGAGAACGCTCTCAGCCGAAGGCCTCCGATGGGGCTCCATGCTCAACATCTGCTCTATTAGAGCTCTGGCTACTATGTCCTCTGGAATAATGACACAAGGGTTTGATTACACGGAGCTTTCATTTAACTATCAACCACATTACTGTTATTACTATAGTACTCACCATGTTTGTCAGGTTGCAGATGGTCGAGGCTGTATGTGCCCAGTAGGATGTTTGCTTGCCGCTGCAGAGACTTGCCAAAAGGGTGGCTTCCCTCCGACACCACGTAGTAGAACACACAACCAGCGGAGAAAATATCAACAGCGCAGGTCTGCAGGAGACGAGAGAAGGAAAGGATAGAGGTCACAATGTGGCATGTAGTACAACACACATTCACCACCAACAATATCTGTAAGCAGTATCAAGTTATGTATACTTGTGTTGGTTTGTATTAGGTTAATTAATGCTCCTTTGGGTCTCACGTTCACCCTTTAGACAGTTTTTAGTGTTAGTGTGATTTCTGATAACATTACTTCTAACCACCATGAGAGAGCTGCTGCTGCTGCTGCTGCTGCTGCTTTTCTACCCGACTCACCGGGTTGTCTTTGCAGTCCTCACTGAGCACCTCGGGGGCGATCCAGCCCTCTGTGCCCGGCACCCCAGACCTTCTACTGAAACTGTGGCGGCCCACTGCCAGCTTCTTACACAAGCCGAAGTCTGAGATCATGGCCCGGACCCGACCATGGGCGTTGGGCATGGACACCAGGATGTTGTGGGGCTTCAGGTCTCTGTGGACTGAGGGAAAGGTATGAAGGTGAGAGGGGGGGGGGGGAAACACACGCTGTCAGTTGCTTTAGTGGCGTAGATGTTGCTTGGTAATACAAAACAGGCTTTAATAATAGATACCTATGTTGAGAGAGTGCAGATGGGCCAGTCCTGACGTGGTCTGCTGGAGAAGCATAACTGGCTCCAGACCATGACGGTCAAAATCCTTCCTCTGCACATACTAGAGAGAAGAAAGACCAGTCAGTGAGGTCCAATAATTATAACATGATGCCGTCATTTTCAAGGCAACAAAATAATTTTTGCGTTTCTTGTAGTTTTTGTGCTCTATGAATAATGACAGAGAACCCTGGCTAGTTCCTCACAAATAAAGTAGTGTATTATTAAGGAAAATTAAGCTTAAACTGGGCAGTTACTAGCAAAATACTTGATATGTGTTGGTAAAGAAGAGCACAAAGTTAACGCCACTTCTCCCAGAAAAAATAAGTGCTCAAGTGATCTATTAAGCCATTAATTACATCCTGAAGTGAGGCAGCACACAGCTCAATTGCAATGTACTGGAACTGGCGGTCTCTCTCCGTGCAGAAGTAGCGGATGACATTTGGGTGCTCGTCGGACTCCCTCAGCAGCTGCACTTCCCGGTCTGCAAAGCTGAAGCACTCTGGGAGAATTCTCTTAACTGCCACTGCACGGTTGTCAAACTGACCCCTTGTGGAGGAACGATGGAAATACAACATTGTGATATTGAACAAACTAAACAAAAAGGTTATCGTGAATAACTGTTGACTGGCTGTTCAGACTTACTTGTACACAATGGTGCCCTCAGCACCATGACCCAAGACCTCTTTGGGGCGGAAAGTTATGTTGCCCACTCTGACAATATTAGAGTCCTCCTCTGAAAAGACAAACGCATAATTTCGGACAATGAAAACTGGGTTAAATTAAGTACAAACAAACAGTGTGCATTCAATCCTACTTCCTCAATCTTTACCTCCATCTTCGTGCTCATTGGCTGAGCTCCCCAGCTCAGACACAGACAGGTTGGAGTGGTTGGAGGCGCGAGGGGTGACGTTGGGGCTGCTGTGGTCCGAGCATTCGGAGCGAGCGTGGGCCACCTCCAGATAGTCGCTGTCTGGGGCCAAGCCCAGGGTCACGTCTGCAGCGGAGAACGGCTGCTGTCTCTGGAGCAGCTCCAACTTCTCCTCCATCTGTCTCTGGAACTCCTGGTGCTGCAGCTGCTGCTGCTTGTGAACACTCTGTGGTGAGAGAGGAGACTATGTCTGAGGCTCTAAGGAAAACAAACGTGTATTCAGCACTTACGGTCCACTAGGTGGTGCCGTTTGACTTACTTTGGGGTAGGTAATCACAAAGGCCACCCAGCCAGCCAGGAGGAAAGTGGAGAAGATGATGGTGGCCATGTCTTTGAGCATGGAGTCCACCGGGGCCTCTGGGCGCACAGTGCGACCACTGGTCCCAGGTTCTTGGATAGATGTTTCAGGCAGAGGAGAAGGGGGCCCGTCATCCATACCACTATCATTCACCTTCTAGGGGAGGGTGGGAGGTGAGGACAGAGAGGAAGAGAGTGAGGAAATATGCACAGATGTTTCGATACCAGAAAGATCTTCCAAACTAAATATCTCATGGGTCACACACCTCCTCAACTTTCTTGTCAGTCGTAGGTGGGATGACGTTGCCTTGATTGCGAGGGAAGCTGTCTGGAAACTTCTCGAGGATCTTGTTGTGCGCTTCAGGAGGCGTCTCATGATGACCTGAAATGCAAGAGTGGCCTTTTTAATCATCATCATCATCATCATCATCATCATCAAAATCATGGCCATTCACCAAACCCAAACACTGATTTCAGTTACGGTGCTAAAATTATTAGTATAAGTATGAGTATTAGTATAGGTAAGAAAACACAATATGTTATTCATTTTATCATCCAGCAGAGGGCGGTCTAAGTGCAACAGTCACTCAAAGCTCAGAGAACCATTCAAGGCCTTGGACTTCAAAATGTGGTGAAACCTTTCAACATACCTCAGGGTTCATCGGCATCGTTAACCAACACATTTTTATGACCGTACAAACCCAGCTACAGTAACAACCACTTTATGGAGGTCTTTCCTGATGTCAAACCCTCGACCGTGAATTGTTAGTGGAACTAAGATTTCTTTCTTTTTTTAGGTGGTGGTGCTGAAACCCTCTCCCATTACCCCGAGCGGGTCCAGACGAACATATTCCTTTGCGATTTGTGCAATGACGTAGTACCTATGAGGAGCAGGTAGTTCATGAAGTTGATGCGGTTTCGCTCCCGGAGCGCAGCGTTGAACTTGACGCTGGGTGTGATGACGCACTCCTTGTCGTCTGTCTCCTGGCTGTCAGGACCCTCCAGCATGGGGAAGGTGCTGCCACGAGGCTGTACACACACACACACACACACACACACACACACACACACACACACACA